ACTTCGTAACTTGCCTAATCAACCTAAAAATGTGAAAGATTTAGAACGTAAGGTAAAATATGCTTGGCGTTCAATTCTACTTGAGTATATTCAAAATTTGGTCAAAAGTATGCCCTGTCGCATTCAAGCATATATAGCAGCCAAAGGTGGTTCAACAAAGTATTAGTTTTTATTTTTTTTTTTAATAAAATATATAGGAAATATTCAGAATAAATAAATTTTTTGCTTATTCTAAAAAAAAATTAATATAATAAGTAAATTCAAATAGTTTAATTAATCGTTCGGGTACTTGTAATCACCCTCTGTAAAAGCATTAACAATACTGACTCAATTACAAATAGCAATTATAATGATATGTCAGAAAATATGAAAAGAGATCAAAATGATACTATCATAGTATCTTTTCAGAGAAGTAATAAAAGTTCTCTAGGAATGATACTACTAATAGCAATGAATAGACTATCATCAGGAACTACCACACCTATACCTTAGTCATCAACTAATCTATTACCTTATAATAGTATACAACTATGACAATCATATCTAGGAGATAGAAGGCAGTATGACAAAAAAGAGAATGACACATATACTCCTAATTATGAATGAAACATCATATTTAGATATATTAATGATGATGATAAAATACTGCAAGGAATATCCTTCTTCGATAATACAAATAAACTAGAAAGAGAAAGAATCCCAAGCAGAATACCCTGAAGAGTTATATTTAATACAGATAATAGTAGGAGATCTCTATCCCCTGTTATATTGGAAAATGTTTAATAATCAGTAACTACAATATTATTCAGTAATTAATCATTAAAGCTATCAAATTTAAGGGTAACAACTTCATCAGTAGAAAATACAAATGGTGAATCATCATTGAAAATCCTTACAAATTTTCTTAAGCAACTCAATATAGCTGTATGTTTGACTCTTTAACATCATTTGATCCTTTCTGAAGTAGCAACCCATCTACAACTTCTAGTTTTACAACCGCAAATTAACAACCAGTAAGTAATCATTGATTTGAGAGTAACCCAAATAATGGAGGAAATAATATAATGGGACATCAAAATATAATTACTAAAGGGATTTCACAGCTAACAACGGTAGCTCAATTATATAATATGCGATCACTATTAAATTCCTGAGGGATTAGTTCTCAACTAACTAGCATAAAAATTTCTCAGTCAATATCTAGTAGTCAACCATTAAATAATATAAACACTTTTCAGTCAATACCTACATCTCAATTAGTTATAATACCAGTAGGAGGAAATAATAATAATACTTACCTTTGAGTTATACAAGGTTTAACAGAATAGCTCTAAGGATAACAAATGAGAGAGCAACAATTAGTAGTTTTACTGATATTTAGAGGAGGAAACCAGGATCTAGTGAAGTAGCTTGAGGCTTTTGAACAAGCCTGTAAAGCAAATTGCATCAATACTACTCAAATGGTTGAGATAGTTCCTAGTTACTTGACAGGAACAGTATTAATATAGTTTTAATAATAGTATATTATCAACTGAAATAGTAGAATTAATCCCAGTACTTCCTTCATACTATTATTTGAATAACATTTCTGCAATGCATTTTGGCAAAATTAATAGAAATATCAACTTAGGCATAGAAAGCAGAAACCAGGTGAAACCATTGAGAAATATGCTGCAGTAATAGGAGAATTATGTAAAAGAGTTGACCTACAGTATAGGCAAGCTGAAATGGATAGAGTAGCTGAATTTATTGAAGGATTATGACCAGAATTTATAGTACTAGTGCAAACGGCAATGCCAACAACAGTAGACCAAGCGATTGAAAAAGTCAGAGCAATAAAATCTGCATATTTCATTAGAATAAAACTATCTGCTTATTTATTAATGCCTAATTATATGCAATTACTATAATGAGGAATGGTATTAGCTCATATAAATATAGTAATGCAATCTACATATATCACATAATAATCAGATATTGAAGATACTATTAATTGCAAATTAAATAAAGGATTATAAGTGATTATAGCAAATATTAGGCAACAACAGTAACAGCAACAACAACAACAGCAGCAGTAGCAACTACAATAATAACTACATGAATGCTTTAATTGTGAAAAATTTGAATACTGGCTAAAAATTATAGAAGTAATTGACATATAAATAATAATCAATCAAATATTGAATGCTTTAACTGTAGAAAGTTTAGTCATTTTGTCAGAGATTGCAGAAGTTTAAACAATAATCAAAGTCAAAATTTTCAAAATAATAATGGTAATAATAGAAATTATAATTGCAGTAATAGCAGGAATAGAAATTATAGGAATGATAATAATAATAATAACAATAATAATGATAATAATAGTAATAATAACCAGTAGCATTTAAAAACAAAAACAAGTTTAATAGAAGTATCTTATGTATATAAAGGAATGAATTCAAAAATATGATTTAAAGGACCATATAAAAATAAATATGATCATTTCAGTTGTAGAGAATATGACTATCATAGTCATATTATATGTATAAATTATAATAAGATCGCTAAAAGAATAGCAGCACGATGTGAATGTAAAAAAGTAAAATGAAAGAATCCATTAACTGATGAAAGAATTTTCAGTAAAAATCAGCCAATTAACCAATAGATCTCTAACAATAAGAAGAAATCTCTGTTAAGAAAAGGCTAAAGTATGTGTTAGGAATTTTATATGACGATAAAGGAATCTATCTTTCAAAACAAATTGATTCAAATAAGAAAATGTATAACTTATAGCAAATGATCAGTGGAAAAGTTGAATTAGAAGAATCATCAATAAGAGCTATGATTCGAGAAATTAATGAGAAAACTAAAATACAATTAGATGAAGATTGCTTAGAATATATTCTAAATGATCCTATATATAATTGTGACATTTATAAAATAAAGCTAAGCAAGAAAATATCTCAATATACTAAACTTATCAAATACAGTAATTAGCAATATTTTGAATTTAATTGAATATTTACAAATAGCTAGACTAAATGAATTAATACTAATGCATAACAAATATGGAGAACTTTTCATAACAAAATTAAAGAAACAAATTGTTACTAGTAATATAGCACAAAATGAATCTATTAAAGATATATTGTTTATCAAAGCCTAAGTGGAAGAGTATTCTGTAAATGCTTTAATTGATACTAGATCTGTAGGAAGTATTATTACTCAGTGGTAGTGATGTACATTTTTCCCAAAGATTTGTTGTTCCAACTATATGTCCTAGCTATATGTCTCAACCTGTTTCACACTATGTCCCAAATGTCCTATCTGTCCCATCTATGTCCTATCAGCATTCCATCAGTATCCCATTAATGTCCTATGACAACACTGCTCAGTGATATCTCAGACAAATCAATAAAGAAATTGATGAACCTGCAAAAACAAAAATCATGGAGGTAGATGAAAAAACTATGATACCTTTAGAAATAATTAAAGGAATTATGGTAGAAGTTAATGGAATAACTGTTAATAAAGATATGCTAGTGACTAATATTATAAGATATAATATTATTTTAAGAAATACCTAGTTGCAAAAAAAGTTTGTACTATCATTGACTATGATACTGGTATCTTAGTCATATAACAAGAAGATCAAATTTCCATGACATCTATAACTTGCATACAGGATATACATTCAGAAAAGTTTACACTAATTTAACCTAAAATAATAGTAGATAAATTAGAATTTGAAGAGAAGGAAGATATCGATATCCAACAATGTTTTGCTATTGTTTTCAAGGAGAAAGAGGATATAATTTAAACAAACAGAAAAGAATATCTTAAAATATACTTACAATAAATTGAATATGAAATGAATATTTAACAAAATAGAAATTGAAAAGAATCGATAACATGTTGGTGTTTGAAAAACTTAAAAAATGAAAACCAATGTGATGAATGTAAAGAAATTGTAAGGACAGTATAGATTTATCAATACTATAGGAATAGTATAGATTTATAAGCTGCTTATAAAGTTCAAATTGAAGAGAATGATATTCAAGTAAAAATTGGTAAAGGTTCAGAAAAATATATAACCTGCAGAAAATTAACAGATAACTCTTTAGAACAATTAAAAGTATTTTTTGAGAAAAATCTTAATAGTTTTGCAACTACAACACAGGAATTAACACATTCAAAGCAACATGAACATTGTATATTTACTAAAGATATACCACCAGTTGCACTAAAGCTATATTGAACGTCAATTAAGAATGATCAGTACATTCAGCAGAAAATTCAAAATATGTTAGATCAAGGAATTATATGACCTTCTTGAAGTTAATGAAGTTTACCTATAATTCTTATAAGGAAAAAGAATGGAAAAATGAGGTTCTGTGTAAACTATAGAAAATTAAATAATATAATAATAAAGGATTGATATTCATTACTAAGGATTGATGAATTATTAGAATCTTTAGAAAGAGTAACATGGTATACTATCTTAGATTTAGCTTCAGGATACTGGCAATTTAATGTTAGGAAATAAGATAAATCCAACATAGCATTTATTACAAAGCATAGATTATATAAATTTAATATAATACTATTTGAGTTGTGCAATGCACCAGCCACCTTTTAACGAGCTATAGATGATATATTATAAAATATAAAAGGAAAATTTGTACTAGTATACCTTGATGACATTATCATATTTTCTAAAAGTTATGATAAACATTTGCAATATCTTCAACAAGTTTTTGATTTATTAAAGGAAACTCAATTAAAAATAAATCCAGAAAAATATCATTTCTGTACAAATGAAATTCAATTTTTGAGACATGTAATATCTGAATAAGAAATATAACCTGATCTAGCAAAAATTGAAAAGATCATCAACCTCAATGCTCCATTTAATGTTAAACAATTGTGAACTGTATTAGGATTATTTTCCTATTATTGACATTTTGTTAAAAATTTTCTAAACTGATAGCCCATTGAATGATTTACTGAAAAAGGATATGTCTTACAACAGTGATATACATTTTTAATATTCCAGAGATTTGTTATTCCAGCTATATATCCCAACCTATTTCACACTATGTCTCAAATATCCTATCTATCCTATCTATGTCCTATCAGCATCCTATCAGTGTCTTATTAATATCCCATGATAATACTACTTTACAATTAGATAAAATAATATCAAGAGATTTTTGAAATACTTAAGAAAAAATTGACAACTGCACTAATCTTATCTTATCTTGATTTTAATCAATCTTTAATTTTAAGTACTGATGTAAGTACTACAGGATTAGGTGCAGTACTTTTACAAAAAGACAATAAAGGAAGAAAACATCCTATCTGGTATGCAAGTAGAATATTAAGCCCAACAGAAAAGAATTATCATATTACTGAACAAGAGACTTTAGCAATAGTATGAGCAGTTAAATATTTTAGGAAGTATTTAAAGGATAATACATTTATTATATATACTGATCATTTAGCATTACAGT